AGCACCATTATTGAAAAACACAGTATTAACCAGTTAATATAGAAATATTGCCCTTACAAATTATACAGTTCCAACTAGATTTCTAATACTTAATGCAAAACAATGTCAGTCATTATTAGTAACACATTCCCACTTCCTCCAAAAAATGCCCATGTAACCTTGATCCATTGCAGGCAAAATTCTTGCACAGCATCCTTATTAAAAAATACTAATATTGAGCAAATTATGTATAAAGCTGCTTAAGATTATTTTCTATAAATAGAACATTGCTAAGCACCATTTCAGCTTCAAATTGCTGGGTTTGGAGCAGGAATTCCTAGGTGAAATGCTGTGTACACTGTGGAGAGCTGCAGCAGCATCCCTTTGGCACTAAGCTCTGTGAGCTCCTAAATGAGCACAGTTAGTTTACCTGTCATGTGCTCCTGAGGCATTTGATTTATTTGGCTATTCATAAAATAACTGGTTCCTCCCTGGAAACGTTGATAAATACCAAATGTTTCATACTTCTTAGCACAGATAATAAATTGTTCTTTTTTTTTCCTTTTTTTTTTTTTTTTCCTAACAATTCCCATATTTAAACCCATTGACCATTCTAACCAAGGAGTGGAAATTATATCATGTGGATTAGATAACCAGTCTCACATCACTGAGTAATGAAAAAGCAAATCACTGAACAACATAAAAATAGTTCCTAGGCTGCAGTTCAGTCAACAGCTTTTAATGAATGTAGTCACATGCTAAGCAGTTGGAAATCAATAATAAGTCAGAGAAAGAAAAGAAGGTTGAACTTATTGGGTGCTGTACTTGTGGTGACCATTTTTGTCAGCTGTCGTGAGTCTGTTTTTGTCATGAGGCTGATGCTGTCCCCTTTGCATTCTGCTCACCACCTTTCCTGATCCCCAGGAGCCTCTGCTTAATACCTTATCTGTTGCTGCAGCCCCTAAAACTGCTTTATGTCTCTTATGCTGTCATATTTACTTGCACGGAAAGGTACTGCAAACCAATTTACAGTTATGTGTGGCATCACTATTTACATGTCACCATATTAAAAAGGCTTGTAGAATTTCCATTTTAAAACCCTTATTTCAGGTTTTATAAATCCTGCCTGCTTCTAATTACATCGGGTTGAAGACAACAGTGTAAATGTTAACCCCACAGACTAATTTACAGGGAATGGTAGGCATCTATTTATTTTTAAACGAGGCACCAGAAAAGGCAGTGATTTTGAATAGTCTCTTTTTTTAATACTAGACTTTAATTCACAAAAGAACACAAAAGCTCTAATTATTTACCCTGTAATAGGAAATGAGTGGAATTTTAATAGACTATATTGTTAACAAATAGAAGGAACTAGCTAAAATTTGTCAAAAGTTGTCTTTTTATGTTGTCCTTTACATGAGAACACAAGGGATTGCTTAAAGAGATTTTGAGCTGATACATAGAACAAAGAAAAGTCTTTTTTTCCATATGAAGTACATGATCTAGGGGTTAATCAAGGCAAACCTTGTGGCGGAATTACAAATAGGAGCTCCTGGTGTACTAGAAGCAGTTCTTGCTCTTGCAGAGTATGGGTCATGGCTGCTGGGTCATACCCTGTTTGCATGACAGTAACAGTGGGGTACTGCAGGGTCTGTCCTGACACTCATACTGATCCACATCTTTACCAGCGACCTGGAGGAGGCACCAGAAGGCACTTCTCTGAGGTTTGCAGGTGGCACAAAACTGGGGGGACCAGTCAATAGCCAGGAGGAACAGACCAGTATGGATTTTGCCATTTTTTAAGACAGCACAAAGCTGTGCTGTCTTATACAAATAAAGAATGCGATACGAAATGTACAGATCTTTCTCAGCCTTCCTCAGTTCTCTTGGTCACAGCACAGCTTTACTTGTTGCTTGTATTCTGTTTAATCTCTTTTCTCAAGTGCACTACTGGGCATTGACCAGTGCCAAGGGCCAGGAAACATTACTCCACAGACCTATCTTTATTTCAGCTTTCAGATATGTTACTGTTTCCTTTCCTGTCCCTCAGGCCTCGGTAAATCTCATTAAATCCTTTTCAGATTGAAATCCTACTCTTCCCAAGCTATAACATGTTTTACAGCATGTATTTCTCTATAGTTGCCTTAGTTTCTTGTTGACAGTCTTTTAGTACTAGTACTTGGCTGGTAAATGTCTTCCTTATTCTTATCTACTTTGTTTTGTTCAAAGCAATGCATGGGAATAATAAATTGGCTTACAAGTACCTGACGCTGCTTCTTAGTCCTTTCTGCCATGCCAGCTTTTCATAATACTGAATCCTAGGGATGCCTGGAAGAAGCCAGCAGCATTTTCTCCACTTATATGTCTCCCAGAAGAGCTTCAAGCTGTCTGGATTTCTCTAGTAAACTCACTCAATGGAAGTGCTTCCACAAAGGTGTTTCAATAGATTAATAGATTTATTCCTGAATATGATAATAAACAGTTGCCTCCAATGTCAATTTTAAGGCTTGCAAAATGTAACTACGTACAAGCATTAGATCAGAGCATAAATCAGTTCAGTAAAACAGCTTTGTAAATATTTATGAGCACAGGGCTCTTTGTTTCATACTCCTTCTGTGTCCTCATCTTAAATTTTCACTTGCTTTAGTTTATGGCTGGTAGTTTGGGCTGAGTACCTGACAATGGTAAATTGCTACCTGCTTTCTCAGGTACTGCGTATAACACAATCCCAAATCTTTACTGACTGAAGGTTGAATGTATGATCTATAGAAAGAAACCTGTTTCTGTGGATGGATTCTGATGGACCCACATGAAGTTTAGCAGGTGATACATTGCTGAACTAAAGCATAACCTGGGTTTGTCCACATGAGCTGCCATCCCTGCAGTCGCTGCAGGTGAGGCAGGTCTCAAATTCCCTGTTTGTGTTGGTATTTTTGATGGGGTTGGTTAATCAGGAGGGCAAGGAAAAGGAGATATGATAAAAAGATGATTGAAAGGATAAAAGGTAAAGGTGTTAAATGAAGGAGATGTGAAGATGCTGTGAGGGAGCAGTGGGAAAAGAATCAGAGCTGTCAGGATACAGCAGTAACAGCCTAGTGAGAACTGCAAAGATGAATTATCATCTCATGCAAAACTCTTTGCAGCCCTGGCTTGTTCTCCTGTGTCCATGATCCTTGCTCCATGCATCCTGGAATTTCAGTGGCCCAGAGGAGAGGGGAATGACCTTTTTATTCTTTCCTTTACAGCAGTTGCAAGTGAGGGCAGAAGTACATAATCATATAGGCGTTATTTTTTTTGCAGTTTATACAAACTGTCTTTGGTTAACTGGTAGCAGATAGCACCATGATAATTTATGTAATAACCAGAAACAATATTAAAAAATAAACCTACTGATAATTATTCAGTGTTTGTTTAACTGGGTTCTTGAAGTTCCCGAGTGGTCAGTTTGGACTGAGTTAAGTGCTGTCATTTTTCTTCTGTCTTGTTTGCTGGGTCTTCAGCCTTTTTGAACTGAAACCTACAAGGTGTCTGAACAAGTGGTGCTCGTGGCAATTCAGGATGGATTGTTCTCATTGAGGAGTTGTTTTCTGCTGCTTCGTGTGAAGCTTTGGCAGATCAAGAGATCTTGCTCCTGAGATCCTTCCAGGCATGCTTCCATGTGTTTCTGTATGTCTTCATGGAAACTGCATGGGATCAACAAAAAACTGGGGGTTTGGGTGTGAAAAACATTTTCAATTTTATGTTCACATCTCCATTTGAGATTTGTTGGGATAGCCAGATACATTGCCATTTGAACAATCACTTGTATTTAGTTGTATTTGCAGTTTCATTACTGAAAAAGCATGGAGAAAAATACCTAATTCATTTGCATGCAGACTTATAATAAGATTCCTATACATTGTACAAATTTACACAATTTAATGTCTTAGCATGCATTTAGTCATATCCATGCACACTTAAGTATCTTTCTGACCGCAGTGGTATAATTCACTAGTAATTCCCCTGAAATGTGATTATCAAAGAGCAGATGTTACTACATTTACCAGCTCTTCTTCCTGGACTTATGACAATTTTTGGTGCATTTGATGAAATAAAATGCTGTTTGATCAAATAGGACATTTGTCTTTGGTGAGTCATGCTTAAAGCTTTTATTTTTTTATTTGTGTAGTTAGTAAAAAAAAAAGATCAAAGATCTTTTGCAGGTGCCAGCTTCTAGGTGTGTCCCTCTCCACATCCAGGACACAGGGCTGGAGTGGGATCCAGGTGCTGTGAGCCAAGGGCCAGTGGGCTTTGGAAATGCACAGTGGTCACCATGAAAGCATGGACATTTCAAGAGTGTATTAAAAAGAATTAATGTTCACATTGCTGTCCATCTACTTCCTAAAGAGAGGATAGTTCTGTTTTCATTAACTCTGGTGAGATTGATGGAAAAGCTTCTGCTCTGTGAAATTAATTGAGTAAGAAAGGGAGTGCATCCTCACAATAGCAGTGCATTGTCTAGATGCACAGGCCAAGCCTGAGATGTTTCCTTGAATGTGCAACACCAGTTCTTTCTGCAACAGGGAGCAGCAAGTAGACCCTCAGAAATGGCGGCCTTGATGTTACATACCTGCTTTCCCTGCAGTTCCTCTCCTTTGTCTGGAGGATCCAGGACCAGGTTCCCTGCTGAAGCTTCCTCTTAAAATTATAACTCCCCAGAGACCTGGATTTGTGAATGACCTCTGTTTGCAACAATAAGTACAGTAAATGCTATTGTATTATGCAACAGTAGTGAATTAAATAATCCCACTTCCGTCACTTTCTAATAGGATAATGTTAAAGGCATTCCTCTGAGATGGAGAGTAATAATTTGCTAATTCCCCTCAGTGTTTCATGCTTCTCAGTAGTGCAGCTAATTTTCTCTGAGTACCTTATTAACATTCACAATGTCTTTGCAGTCCCACCCTAATAGCTCTCTGCAGAGGCAGTGACTGTGAAGGTGAGAGCTGACAATGACACATTTTCCTCCTTTTTCTCTGCAGACTGTATTATCCTGGTTTCCATCCACTGAGGGCCCTCCAGCTGATGCGAGTGGGCAAACTGCAGTACAGTCGAGACATGTTTCCTCAGGCACTAGAGACCTTGAAACAGGTCAGTATTGTGAATTGTCTCTTCTCTGTCCCCCTCCCTTGCTTCCCCCAAACCTGCTGTCTGTCCCCTTCCCTTCTGCTCCGACTGTAGCTCATGCCTTTGGGTACTCCTCACTGCTTTTTCCATCAGTGGTGTTTCCCCAGGCTGCAGCTGAGTGTAGTGATGTGTCACTGTTGCTCAGCATTTCAAGCACTGACTTCCTCTAGCATCAGTCACTGTTAATTACAGTTCAATAGCTCAGAGGTGCCTGGATGAAGAATTCCTGTTAGATCCAAATAGATAAAAATATCTCAGTACCTTACACTCTCCTATTTACTGTAGCAAAGTGAACCTGGGAGCACTGAAAGTACAAAAAAGGAGCAGAGTTCCAGTTTCTACCCTGCTTATTACCTGTCCAGTATCTGTGATTTCAGATTAGAGAACTTTGCCTTTAGTGCTTGCATTCCATTGTGAGCCACACTCAAATCAACAGGCGTGCTTCTTGATCCCTCCTTTTTCTATATAATTCATCACCTTTCTCTTCTTTGACCTAGTTTTGCAGCTGGTGCTTTACTAGTAACATTTCAGCTTTAAGCTATCCCTCTTTTACTTCAGTTGACTTTTTATATTAATTTCCTTCTACCCTGGGCTCTTATTTGTCTTGCTGTTATATTGCTGTAGGTATCTTAAATATATTAAATAATCTCCTTCCATGTGCAACATGTCCTCAGGATGCAGGCTCTCACTCCCCATCTCAAGCCCTTGATCACTGCTAGGGTGTTTTTCTCCCCTTGGAAGATGTGATGTCTCCAGTTCCCCTCACAGAGGTCTTACGCTTATTCCCTTGTATGATTGATTGCCCTGGTGTCAACTTGGCCTGAAGACTGTACACACTCTGTGTGGTTCCCCCTCTCGTCTCTCAGCCCACTTGCAGTGCCTGGCACACACAGCCTCCTTGTTGCCTTGGCTGGGTGCTGCAGAAAGCTGCCTGGCCCAGCTACTTGCCTCCTGCTGCTGCTGGGCAGGAGTGGGCCCCAGCACTGGCACCAGTGTGGGAAACAAGTGCAGAAGTTGGCTGTACGTCCCCTTTGCTTAGTGTCCATGCTATATGAAGAGCTAGTCCTGTGGCAAAGAGTTAGGGCAGCTGCTTGGGATAGAAGGGGCTGGGTGTCTGCACTCGGGTGGGTGGTGAAGTGGTTTTTACTCCTGCCTGGATCCCCTAAAAAGGTGTTATAAGTAACAACTCTCTAGAGAACTTGGTATTTTGTACTTAATTTTTTCTACGCCATTTCTATTTGGATTTAACATTGCTCATTTATGCAAGCTGAATAACTGATGATGTCCACATTGGAATAATGAACAAGTATTTAATACGATGCCAGTCTTACTAAGTCATAGTAACTTACATCTTCTCTTGATATATTTAACTTTTTTAACATTAAAAAACAGGTGGAAGAGTAATCAGTTCTATTTCCTAAGCATTACTCAGAAGTAAGCCATATATCCCTCATGTGCCAGGTAATCTGTTCTGCTGTTTCCTTTGCAATATTTATAATTTCCAGACATTCAGGCTTTCCTTTTCAGCAGGTGGAGGGAGACTTCAGTAAGAGGAGCTTCTATTTTCATTGATACTGCTGCAGTATTTCAACAGGCATACTGCTAATTGCATTTATAATATGATACTGCATTAGACGAAACTGGAGTGAATTCCCCTGGAGCCACCTGAATGATGCTCATCAGCGAAGGTGGAACTTGTGATGGGGGTTTTCTATGGTTTTAATCAAGTTGCCCATTGCAAACCAGGCTGCTACCATGTTATCCTTTGAATGCAGAACAATGCCTAACAGAAACACTTTTTCAAGTTATTTCCCTGAAAAGGAAGAATAAAAGGCATCAGTGGTCCACAGGACACAGTAAGTGTTTACAGCTGGGGTGCAGAACCATTTACAAACTAACCCTGTTTGTGGCTTTGCCTATTCCCTGTTCAGCTTCCCTCTTCCCACCCACATGTGTGAGACAGAGAGAGACTGAGCTCCCCCTCTCTGGGAGCACAGCTGAGAGGAGGAAAAGCTTCTTGTCATCCTGTTTCTCCATGCAGCTTGCAAGAATTGGACATAATGCTTCTTTGGATGAGAACTGAAGCTGATTCCCTTCATTGCTGTCTACACTGGAACAATTTAGCAGAAGATATAATTCCCAGTTTGTTGCAAGTAAAGGATGTGATTCTTAATATAACACAGATAATGTCCTAGAGTTATATGAGAACACAGTTTGGCCCTTTGTGATTAGATGTATCAACAGAGCATGCCATGTGCTCAGAGCAGAAACTCAGTTACCTTCTCTGCTTCATTACTCTTCTTAATACGCTCTGACATGGAATAGCACCCTGTTGGAGCCCTCGTCAGACTAATTTCAGTGTGGCATTAAGGAGAACGATGTGGAAGGTGCAGAGGAATTGAGAGCTGAGTGCAATTCACCTCGCTCATATAAATCCTGTTTAATCAGGCACAGCCTCAGAGCTGCTGGGCATTGACAGCCTCTCTGCATCAGATGTGCAGCCTGTTAAGACCAGTGGATCTCATACAAAGCTCTGCAGCCCAGCCCTTGCTGCTGCTCTCTGTGCCAGCCAAAAATGAATCGCTATCACAGCCACCTTACTCTTCGCACCCTGTGGATCTAGCTCTGTGCCCTGTACCCCCAGAGAAGGCTGAAATAATGTGGAGGACTTTATGTTACCCACTAAAATGAAATCACCCTTTTAAAGTATATTAGCCCCTGCAGAATCTAATTTGCCAGGTTTTGGAAATAGCAATGTTTCAGAGAGGCAATACTCCGCGTCTGGAATAAAACCTGAAGGTAGCCCTTGGTTGACTGTGCAACCAACATATCATTTTTAAATTTATATACACGTATATATGAAAGATGCAATGGTCGAGGACAAATCAAATTATAGATCAGAAAAAACTTTGTCAGCAAAAGACCGGAGCTGGAGCCCAGTCTGACAACCTAATTTAAAGAACCTGGAATGACTGTAAAAAGCAGCAATATCAAGAGTTGCTGTCTTGTGAAGAGAAAAGCCTTTCAACTGCAAAGCTGCACTCCTGCAGGAGCCCAGGATGGGTCTACATCTCTGGTGCTCTCAGGAGCCCCTAGCAAGTGTATAGTTTTGTCCTGGGGTGCATTCATTAGCATAATTATTTGTTAGGTGTCATTTTTTGCCTTCACAGCACTCTAAGTTCCCCTATTTGGTTGTCCATAACCTGAGTGGAGCTGGACTCTGTTTGGGAAGACAGACAAGGTGCAGAAGGGGAGGCTTGGCCTTAATTTCTGACTGTCATCTCTTAGAAGTAAGCCAGTGAGTGCTGCAGCACACTGTCCTGGCTGCTGCTCCATCCTCTGGGCTGTGATGGTAGTGGCTGCCTGTACCCCTGCACCTTCCTGAGCAGGGCAGCAGTGCCCAGCCCTGAGTGATGGCTGGTGGGGACAGGGGCAGGCAGGAGGATCACACATGTACAATGCTGACCAGCCAGGTTTCCCTGCAGGCCCTGCACTTGGCTAGCATGATCATATGAACCCCCTTATCCTCCCATGAGCTGATGGGCATGGCTGTCTTGTCACATGAAAGCCTGTAGTATGTACTATATTGTTTTGTTTCTTACTGTAATCTCTAGTGTGGAGACAAAAAGCGCATGAATTATGGTAAAGTCCCTCCTAGGTTCCACTGCAACTCTGAAGAAATCCCCTTTCCCTAGGTGTCTGCTTCTGATTTTTTACCAGCTGTTGTTGATAGCAGCTGTGATGGTTTTGGAGGTTCCTATGCCTGCTTTAACAAGCATCCCCTTCAATCAGGAGAGATGGAAACCCCTAGTTTTCAAACTGCTAGTCTTCACCTTGTGCCATTTTGGCACATGTTCGTTTGCTTTCTGCTTTCCCTGTGATGGAGCAGTGCCATCCTGCATCTACAGAGGGTTCCTGATAGCTGTGCTGATGGTCATCCCATCCCATCCCCATGCAGATCAGGCACAACTGACTGCATTCCATTTTATTTGCATTCACAGAGCAACAGCCATACCACTAATCAAATGGGTTTTCAGTTCTTCAGGGAGACAGTGTGTGGTTGATGACACTGTAGCCTGTGTTGCTGTCTTGTGATTACTGTAGGTTTTTGTGATTAGATTTGTTCTTTTAGCTGAGAGGAAGACCACAGAGACCACAAGATTCTGCCCAGCCTCAATGCTGCTGATTAACTGTGCAGGAGAGCAGGGGAGTGTTCAGAGAACCTCCATATTCCTGCTTTTGCCTAGTAAAACAATTACTTGCTTCGAAGGTGTGACTGACCTTTGCAAAAACAGCTACATAGCTTCATGCCCGATTAGTGTGAGGATTATAGAAGTCACTGCTGTTCTAACTTCAGTGCAGCTGACTCTGACTTGGGCTGCAGCGTGAGACAGGACATTGCATGAGAATTATTTTCTTCTTGAAGGAAACAAAAAGATAAAGAAAGGGTGTGTTTATCTGCTCTATTGAGGAAATGGAAAGGAAATGTAAAGGAAATGTTAGAGATGAAAGAGAAGTCAGCAAAGGCAGCATTTTCTCCAGGTTGGGTGTGATATTAAGGGTTTCTCCCTTGTAACAGAAGCGTATCTCTATGGACATCTCTAGCTGAGCATCAGGGTGTCCAGGTCCATCACTACTAGCCTGACCTCTGTCCTGCAGGTGAGCTGAGGATCAAGGCCACCTGCCCCAGGTTGCTATTTCAACTTGTTCTTTAAATCTCTTGCTGCCTCCCTCTTCTTTTAAAAATTAGCTAGTTATCTGAAGCAAAACTAAACTATGCTAGAATTTCCATATGCATGCCAGTCTCTAGAATTTGGAAGTAGGCTTTCATTCATTCCATCAAAGAATATTTTTATTTTTATCTTTCCAATTTAAATGAATCATAGAATCATTAAGATTGGAAAGGACCTTAAAGATCACCAAGCTCTAACCAAGCTCCAACCCCCTTCCTGAGCATTCGTTTCCAAAAGAGAACCTTTTTTTGAAATCCAAAGCTGACTTGGGTGAATTTTACCAGATGACTGGACCAGGAACCCATTGAATCAGAGGCTGCATCTAGTTTTGACAATTTCTTGGTTTGGGATGAGGAAAAATCTCTGATGTCTTTTTCTACTAGGACACTTCTTACTTCTGTTTGTTTTCAGAAGTGCTGAATCCATTTCCATCTGGTACTTCTCTCCTTGCAGGAGGAATTTAATAGCAGAAGAAGCAGAAATTTCATATGAAAAGTCATGATCTAAATGTGAGCTGGGCAAAGAGCATTTCACATGTATCTGTGGCAGGGAATCAGCAACACTACAGGCAATACAGCAAGTGTAAATTGGCCTAGCAATAGCAGATGACCAACTTCACAGAGAAAATAATCCCTGGGAAAACCAGCAAAGAACAATTCCTGTGTATGCCTTTTTAGACTGAAAATATTAATATACTTATTTGTTTGCTGCTGTCATGGTTTTTCTTATTACAGTTAAGGCCCTTTGTTCCATTGGTTAAGCATTAATCCATTTCTATTTACAGGACTTCAAGGCTACTGACATCTTGAACTTCTCAGTCATCTTTCAAATAATGTATCAAAACCTCGGGTGCTGTATTAGGCTAATTTTAAAATGGCCTTCAGACCTCAGTGCAAAATTATCTTCCTTTACTATTCCAAACCTCCCTCTGTGCCATGCATTAGTGGGCTTTAACACTTCAGAACAATGTGTCAGTGCCTCCTCCTTTGCCAGGGACAAATCATTGCACGCGTTGAGATACTTCTACTATGCCATGCCCTTGAGTCCCCAGCTACCTGAAGACCAAGACCTACATCCCTGCTCCACTGCAGTGAGAAATGCCTTCATAGGCTCTGCGCAATGACTAATGTGTCCCTTTCTGGTCTCTCCTCAAGGCCTATGATATTATGAAGGTGACCCATGGAACAGATCACAGCCTGATGCAAGCCTTGATGGAGATAAAGGAACAGTGTGAGGCCATCATGAGAACACAGTGAAGAAAAACTCCAGTCTGGAAAACAAAATATTCAAGGAGGAAGGAAATCAAATGCTTTCTATGGCATTGGGAAGTTTTCTGATTATTTTTTGGAGCCCATTCATTAGGTCCTAATTGCTTTACAAAAATTATTAAAGTCACTATTTTTGCAGTGTGATCTGAATTGAGTTGATGTTTGGAGGAATATCTGCAATTTAGAGAGGATATTTTTCCTAGCAAACAATGTAACTGACAGTACCTAATTACCAATTTACAACACCTAATTTAATTCATAGTAAGTATTGGGAAATGCACACAGAGTCATCATCAGTTACAAAGTGATGTAATTCCATTGATATCAGCAGTCAATTTTTTAATACCAGTTTATGCCAGCAATTAAGGATCTCATTTCAGGCACGTTATCAGGAGAAACCATATATTTTTCCCTTTGCCGTGCCCTTAGGTGTGGTTTCTGCAGCCTGATCCAGAGCTCTTTGACATCATATGAGTATCCCAATGCTCTAAATGAGATTTTCCTCCTTCCCAATATATTTGCAGGGCTCTGTCCCTCTTCTTCTTGCATTTCATATGTTACAATATTGAATATTAAAAGGGATTGAATAAAAAATTTCATCAGAAGTGTATCTGTGGAAATTGCTTACTCCATTTCTTTCCCCATTTTGCCTGCTTCAAGAGTTTCTCACGTCATACCAGCTTTTTTAAGAGAGGGATTTCTAGACCTTTTTGAGCCTGAGAGGTTTCAAATTCACTTCTCTAAATAGTGAAGCTCTGAAACCTACAGGTAACCACTGAGTTAGGAGATCATCCCTGGGGATGAGAGGGTTGTCTTGGAAAGCAGGGGCTCTCTATTTCCCCAAGCTCATCAGTGAGACAGTTGTTCCTGCCAGAACTGATGACTTCGATTTTCAACATGGAAACAAATGTTAACAAAAGCCAAATATTTACAAGGAGCATTGAAACCTAAATAATTTAAGGCCTTTGAAAGTATCACTTCAGGTGTGTCACTCCTCTCTAACAATTTATAGCTGCTACTCCAGCCATGACTGTTATTTCATTAATCCAGCGTTGTTGTAAAGTCAGGCTTTTTTCACACCAATAACTTGACACCATTAATTATTATGATATGAGAACACATTAAAAAGAAAAGGTACACTCTGGGTGTTCTAAGGAAGATCTCTCCTTTTCCAGGCATTTGAATTTGTTCCAGAGTATGGAGCATTCACTTGCCCAGCAGTAATATGCAAGCAATAACCTATGAAATGTGGTGCATGACGCCAGAGGCCAAGTCCTATCAGCCACCCAAGAAGTGCAATAATCCTTGCAGAAATTCACTGCTTGGTTGGGTCTTCCTGTGATTACAAAAAGGAAATTATGTGGGGGAAATGTCAGACCTTTGCATTCACTGGGATTTCCGACAAAGTAATGGCACTGCTGATGGACAATCAGAAAATGTGAGATAATATGAGAATTTTCAAGAGCTATTTTCTGTCTCTAAAGGGGCACATGCATCTTAGCGATTATGTGCTTTTGCATAAAATGATGCTTATGTTATTTCATTATTACATGTCTATTCATAAGATTTGCAAACAGAAGGGACATCAGAATGTAAGGGAAGATGATGCATTAGTTTATCCAGCAGCTGCTGGAACTCGTGTGTATGCAGGCACCTCTGTATGTATGAACTGCAACACTGTCTTCTGGGGCTTCTAGTACATGGGTATCCCAACTCACCAAGGGCAACAGCAGGGAAGGATGGGCACTATGGGAGAGTCACAGAAACATAGAATCATAGAATCATTTAGGTTGGAAAAGACCTTTAAGATAATCAAGTCCAACCTTTAACCCTACTCTACTATGTTCACTCCTAAACCAAGCACAAGATCTATATAACTTTTAAATACATCCAGGGATGGTGACTCAGCCACCTCTCTGGGCAGCCTGTTTCAGTGCCTGACAACCCCTTCAGAGAAAAAAAAATTCCTTCTGCCCAGACTAAACCTTGCATGGTGTAGCTTTAGGCTGTTCCCTCTTGTGCTATCACTATTTACTTGTGAGAAGAGACCAGCACCTCTTTACAATGTCCTTTCAAGTAGTTGTAGAGAGCAATGAGCTCTCTCCTCAGCCTCCTTTTCTTCAGACTAAATAACCCCAGTTCCCTCAGCCGCTCTT